GGATCTGGAACTGACTGTTTAAAGCTGGTTTCGCGAAATGTCGCGGTAAGAAAGAGTCGCTACCGTCTTTTATTTTCTCCAAATGGAAAGGACAAAAGCACAGAAAAATTCCTTATTGAGATTAGTTCTCGGTTCGGGAGGTAGATTTATAGAAAGGGAAGGTGTTAGCACCCTTTCTATCCATGGTTATCCATGGGCTCTTAGATACTTGCTCATTTGTGTTTTCAAAATGTTTGTTTGCTTTTCAAGGTGAGTGGGTTTGAAAAAGTTTCGTTTAAAATTTCAGTTCGACTCTTGTATCAGTCCTCAAGAGTGTTTGAAAAGTTGTTTTTGAAAGCTTTTTGCAAAGTGTCGGTGTGAAAAGAAGTTTTTGATTTGTTTTGAATTAGAGCAAGTATCTACGAGTCATCTACCTACCCTAAGGAATTAGTCTGTGTAAATGTCCTTAAGGTAGTGCCATCCCACCATTGAGGGGTAGGTAGCACCACCGTTGGAGGTGTTCGGGTCAATTCGAGGGTTAGGGACAGTGTGGTCACCGAGCAATAGTAAGATACCTTAGAAGCTACCCTTATGCCATTGATCTTTTTATTCCGAGGCAACTATTCTGAGGCAACTTGTTTCGAGGCAACTTGTTCCGAGGCAACCGTTCGAGGCAACTAGATCAATGGAACATAAGGACTCACTAAGACGTCATATACTCGACGACCACGTTTCGAGGGGCAAGGCAACAGTGAGGCGTACCCTAAGAGTGGTGTGTGAATTGTGTGTCATTTTCAGTTATTATTTGTCTTGTCATGCATTGGGTGAGCTACGCTTTGATTTTATTTGGGCATTCATTCTTTCATGTGATTAGCAGTTAAAAGGGTGCGGAAAATAAAAATGCAGAAAATAAAGGTCATACGCTATTACAAGGCGCGGGTCTACATCGCCAAATTAAACCAAGACCCGATTTGAATAAAAGTGCGGAAAATAAAAAAAAAATAGTAAAAAGGTCCTACTTACTATTACATATCCGGAGCAATTACATAATAATGGAACAAATTAAATACGCGCGAATAAAGAAAAGGGAATTAATTTTTTTGTCTTTTTTTTGGTAATTAAATGAAATTGAAAACTAATTAATTATTTTAATTACAAGAAAATATTTTTTGACCTTTTTTATGTTTTTATGAAATAAAATAAAAAAAAATTAAAAATGTCAAAAGAAAAAGCCTAAGTCTAAATTTGTTTTTATTTATTGTGAAAAAAGGTTAAAATTAACTAATTAAACTAATTAATTTGTTAGTATTTTATTTACAAAAATAATTACTAAAGTGAAATTAATAATAATAATAATAATTACATTTTTTTTGTTTTTTTCTGAATTTATGAAAATAATTATTTGTGAACTAACTAAATAATAATAATAATTAATAAAAGGAAAGAAAATAAGAAAAGAAATGCTAAACCAAGGAGGTGAAGGCCGGATTTTGGAGGTTTTACTCAAAATCATCCTTAGGCATCAAAAATTCCATCTAAGCCCATGGTTGTGATCGTCCATGTCTCCTGATCACGACTATGCTTATGGTTTGTCCCAATTTCACCTGTAGACAAAATACCTAAAAAACAAAACCAACGAACCCTAGGCACGGGTATTGTTATACGAAGCCTAAAAATGAAATTGAATATAGCAGTTACATTGGAAATTAGGCATGGAGTATGAATATGCTATTATTTTCCAGAAAAAGTGCAAGAATGGAGAAACATGATTTCGTGTACAGGGGTGAGTTTGAGACAACTTACATCGCTTGGTAGTGGACCTTAGGACGCGTTTGTGGTTGCTTTGGCTTCAGGGAGTGGCAAGGAAGAAAGCCACGTGCTTGCTTTGATCTGAAAATGTTTGCAACACCGCTTTAGATCTCTCACTTTTTTGGACAAATTTTGAACTTTTCCTCTGGCCGTTTGTGCACACTCTCCTTTTTTTCTAGGTTCTGAATGAGGCTTGCAAGGCTTGTATATATAGGCTTGGATGAGAATCAGTCACATTAAGGAGCTTTTAAGCCTTGCAATGAAGTTTTGATTTTCTCCATAATCACCATTGAAATAACTTGCCATATTTGCTCCAAATTTGAATTTTTTTGCTTGAAATAGGTCTTGAACGAATTTGGTATATGTTTTATGGTGTATCAAAGCTATTCAAACCACAAAATATCCTCCCATTAATTTTCTTGATTTTTATTTGAATTTTAAAGATTTAAAATGAATTAAATCAAATAAAATTAAACAAAAATAGAAAAATTAATTTTTATTCTTGAAATAAAACATGGGACACGTGGGAGGTATGGCAAAGCTGAATCAAGTGGAAAAAGTGGGCCCCTTTTGTCAAAAATGAAATTTCAAGGATAATTGACTTTGGCCATTTCACAAAAATTTCCCAACTTCTCCAATGCATATCTTGCTCAATTTTGAAGCTATGAACATGTTCTTGGACATTTTGGAAAGGTCTTGAAGTCCTCTAACCAATGCCTTTGGTCCCATGTAATTTTGATTTACCAATATCAAGTTATGGTCTTTGACTTAAAGTGCCTTTTTGTTGACTTTTGAAAATGACCTATAATGTTAAAATTGATAACTTTTTGTGAGAGCATTTCTTGGACTTGGAATGTGAAGATGAGTTATAGGAAATGTCTTCCCCTTCAAAATGAGCATTGGATGGGATTTTTATGATTAACCATGACAAAAGTTATGCCTTGGTCAAGGTACAGTTGACTTTTCAGCTGTCCAAAAATAGAAACTTTTGACACCTCGATGATTTTTGAGCCATGCTTGAGGAATCATGATCAAGAATTGATCAAATGATGTTTGTGGCTTCAAAATAAGAAGTTGACCAAAAATTTGACTTTTGACTGCCAAATGACCATTTTGCCCCTGCATTTGACTGTTGAGCAATTTAGGTTTTTTGACTGTGCAACTTGACCTTGTGAGCCTTGAAACTTGACATGTAGGTGCTTGACAATGTGTATAGGCATATGGGACTTGATTGAGCTCTTGAAAACCTCAACTTCTTTGCAAGAACCAAAACCCTAATTTGACTGGCTTAGGAGGATGGTTTGACTGTGTAGCCCTTGAGTAAACTTTGAGCCATTTGAGGTGATGCTTGGCAAAACCTCAAAGATTATGGGAGGGCAAATTTTGGGGTACAACACCCGCCAAAGAAGCAGTTGCTTTTTGTACTATAAATAAGATAGTAAATAATTTTTAGGATTCAAACTTATTGAAACCTTACACAAACACTCAGAGTACCCAAGCTACGAGCGAAATGAGTCAAGTAAAGGCAATGTATGTTTGAATTACCAGTTTTTTCATCTTTATATCAAGCAAATTTACTTTCAACTTTATTTAAGTCTTGCAAATTTACTTTATCATTCAAACCTTTTTATTTTTAACTGACATCGTTGTCATTTTATAAAAAAAGTAGATTTCACACCGTGTCGAAATCACTTGCATCCAAATCACTTATTACATCTTCTTTTGAAAACACTTTGAAATTGAAGCATTGTCCTGAGATTCACTAGTCGATCTCACAAAACATCCTTTAAAAAGTGACTAGCGTTGTTTACCAATTTAAAGGTTAAACAGAGGTATGATCTCATTCACACTCTTAAACTACATCTCTATGACTTTACTGACTTGGGTGTTGAAGTTCTAACTTTGCAGGCTCACCCCACTTTGTTGTACCTAAATCGCTCGCTGCCGCACCGAAAAAGCTTGTTCTTCCAACATCTCTTTTTTCTCGTTCTACCACGAAACATAATCTAAACAAGATTTGATTTTAAAATTGGATTAAATATATTTTTGATCTTCCTAAATGTCTCATATTTAACTTTTAGTCCTTCCAAAATGTTACTTCAAAGAATATTCCTCTTAAAAAATTTAATTTTAACTTTTGACCCTTCCAACAATTTAACGACGGTTGTTACAACTTAACGACAGAATTAGCGACAGTTTTAGCCATGATTTTTTATTTTGCGACTGAATTAATTACAATTTTAGCAACAGTTTTGGCATGAGAGACTAAAAGTTAAAATTAAAATTTTTAAGAGTACAATTCTTTGAATTTTTTTTTAAAATGACTAAAAATAAATATGAGATATTTAAGAGAACCAAAAACATATTTAACCCTTTAAAATTTTATATACAATCTAATTTGGTTCAAATTCAAAGTTGTTATTTAAAATAAATTATGAAATCCTCTACTTAATCCAATATCAAACTTTAAATCTAAATAGATAAACTTCACTGAGAATAGATTGTACAAAAACTAAAAAACTCTACCATTTGAATCTCTATATATTGTCTTTTTCTCCAACTCCTACTCAATGACAAATAAGAATTCTCTCTATTTCTTAAAAGAAATAAAAGTATCGATTAATATAGTTTTAAAGAAAATTAAATATACAAATATACATATTTCTAAAAGAGATAACATTAATTACATATTTATACACAAAATTCATTTCTTTTTAGAAGTTAGAAAATCCTTTTCATTGACTTTTTCCTTGTCTCTTACCTTCAAATGTTCATGTGACATATACTTCACTATCATTGGAAACAAAGTTTTCCCACTACTTCCAATTTTATTGTTATGACAAGGCTTTCAAAATAAATATATTTTATATAAACATTTAGGGATGGGAGAGTAGTTGAAGAACATGCTTTATGCTTTATTGGGTTAAGAACTTGGAAAGAAATCTAGAAAGAGTAAGAGATATGCGTTTCAAGATCATCAACTTTTATTTTGGGTAGAAAGATAATCAACAATTGTTAAGGGAAATGAAAATAAAAACCACTAAATGAGCAAAACTTCCACCACTACATTGACTCATTTATTTAGACATAGAGAAACCACAAATGTGATTACTATTAGCACCTTACCATTTTCTAATGACATTGTTTTATTGATTTTATCATCATTGATAGTGAAAAAGCTATGCCTATACACAAACACTAATTTGACATATCTAGTGATGTTGAGCATCTGGCCCTCCAGGAGACACTCTCTCAGGCCTTCCACCTAGCATTGCCCTCTTCCTTAGCCACTCACTATTTTTGACATCGTTAATTGCTTCACGCAATCCAAATTTGACATGAACCACCTTGTCCTTTGTTGAGAACAACATAGGCACAAGTCTTGCCTCTGGTTTCGCTACAAGCAATGTCATAATAATAATAATAATAATCAAGATGACAAACTCTCTTGAATTAGTTGAAGTAGCCATGCTCTTACAAAGAAAACAAGTAACTAGCTTGGTTATTAGTATTTCAATGAGTGAAGTAGCTTGGACTTTATATAAACACGTTGAGGATGAAAGTTGTTTGTCTCAATGGAATGAATTTAATTTAAGGATTTGTATTACAAAACTTCTATTGGAAAGTCGTGTAAGCAGATATAACTATAATCCAAACAAACCTTGTCTTATGCTCTTTCGGTTTCAAATTCAACTTGTCCTCATAAATGACAAATGTTGAATGGTATGACCCTTTTATGGATTTAGCAAATTTGGGTGCTATACTCTAACATAACCCCACCCAACCTATTCACCTTAATTTGTCTTTCTTCTTAAATAGATTAAGATAACACAAGTTACGACAAATAACCCTTTACATTTTGGTCCATCTTTACGATTCCATCAATTATCATCAATGTGCTATGTCATGAAAAGCTTTTGTGCTTTCTCCATACTCATATCATCACCTTTTTTTTTTTGGCTTAAATGCCTACTTTTACTTTAGTGCACATTTCAATCGGCTCATTTCACAATACCTCTTTCAGCATTTGGATTATATAAGCGTTACTTAATATTGTTCTTTTATATATATATATATATATATATATATATATATATATATATATATATATATATATATATATATATATATATATATATATATATATATATATATAACCTAATTCAAGTTATGTAATAACCTGAGCTCAAGCCTAATTAGGATTTGTTAGTCTATTTAGTGTATAAGTTAGGTGTATATAAATAGTCATAGTTTGTATCATTATTTGTACAACTCAAGTCAATAATATAATTCTTATTTTTCTCATTATTCTGTCTTTTCCTCCTCAGTAAAAGTACACCACGCACTAACAAATCGGTATCCAGAGTTTCTGGTTATTGTTCTTGATCGTGTTTTCAAGAATTTCACGTCAGAGATCGTGTTTCCAGGACAAGTGAATCAATGGATGCAAAGATGGTTGATGATAAGGGCATTATGAATTCTCTTCCAAGGCTTAACGGAAAAAATTAGATCCGATGAAAAAAACAAATGTAATCCTTGTTTGACTTCCATGATACTCTAGAAGTGGTTACCGACGGCGTTCATGCGCTGACTGCAGATAAAACTGAAGCACAAAAAATATCCGCAACAAAGTCAAGAAGAAAGATTGTAAGGTTGCTTGTTGCATTCAGACGACGATCGATACTGCTAACTTCAATATAATCTCTCATGCTGAAACGACAAAGGAGGCATGTGATATTCTGGTCAAGTATTATGAAGGACGTGAGAAAATCAATATTGTCAAGTTGTAGACCTTGCATCGACAATATGAATTATTATCGATGCTCGAAGACGAAAAAGTAGTAGAATATGTGTCGAAGGTCCAGAAACACGTCCATCTCATGAAGGATTGTGGTGAAACCAAAACTGATAAGATGATAGTTGAGAAGGTAATGTGAATATTGACCTCTCACTTTGATCACGTTATCGTAGCTATTCAAGACTCTAATCAACTTAAAACTCTAAAATGAGAAGATTTAGTTGGTTCGTTGGAAGCACATGAGATTAGGATTGTCAAAAAGAAAGGAGTTCAAGAATCGATATAAGCTCTGTAAGTTCAATCATGGAAAAGAATGGTGATTCCAACAAATTCAAAGGCAAAGTCGACAAGACTCAGGGAAAGAAGTCTTAATCGAAGCCTCACGAGCATCAGGTCGAAGATAGAGCTTCTGAATCCTCAAAAAGAGGAGGAGGAAACTATCGAAAGAACAAAGAAGATAAAAAAGGTGTACAGTGTTATAACTGTGAAAAATGGGGTCACTTCGCCAAGAATTATTGATACAAGAAAGACAAGGGATCAACAGGCATGAACGAAGGTGTGAACCTTGCATGCCAAGACTCAGATGATTCTGAAGGTATGGTGGTTATGATTGCAGTTGCAGATAACCATGTCGAATCCAAGATCTGGTTCCTCGACTCAGACTGCTCGAATCACATGACTGGTCAAAAGGTGTGATTGGCAGATTTCGACGAGTCGAAGAAGAGTAATGTAAAACTTGTTGATAATAGTTCATTGCAAACAGAAGGTACTAGTAACATAGTTTTTCAAATGAGTAATGAAGGTAAAGTTCTGATCAAAGATGTACTCTATGTACCTGGAATAAAGTGCAACCTGCTAAGTGTTGGACAATTGTTCGGAAAAGGTTTCTCAGTTTTCATGAAAGATGGAGTTTTAAAGTTGTTCGATACCCAAAACAATTTCATCTTGAAATCTCCTATGTCGAAGAACATGACGTTTAAGACTATGATCAGTTCGACATAAGTTTAATGTCTAAAAACTATTGTCGACTACAAAGATAGTTGGTTGTGGCATTTGAGAGTAGAACATTTGAATTTTTGTTCACTAATCAACAGATTACTCAAGATATAGTTACTGGTATTCCAAGTCTTGAGATGCTCGATAAACTCTGTGAAGGTTGTTTAGTTGGAAGGCAATCTAGAAATTCTTTCGTTCCGACTATACCAATGAGATCATCCTACATACTCGAAGTGGTACATTCAGATGTATGTGGCCTATGCGAAGAACATACCATTGGTGGAAACAAATATTTTGTTTCATTTGCCTATGAGTTTAGTCGAAAGCCGTGGATCTATGTGATTAAAAGAAAGGAAGAAGTATTTGAAATCTTTAAGAGATTCAAGATACTTGTCGAAAACAAGAGTAAGAAGAAGATCAAAGTTCTGCGAACAGATGGAGGTGGAAAATACTCATCCAAGATGTTTGAAGATTTCTGTGAAGAACATGGTGTCGATCATGAGGTAACTTCTCCTTATAAGATAATGAAATTGCAGAAGTAAAAAAAACAACCATATTAGATATGGAGAGATGCATGCTAAAGAAGAAAAAATGCCAAAATCTTTATGGGGTGAAGATGTTTCAACTGCAGTTTATATCCTGAACAAGTGCCCTACCAAGAAGTAGAAGAATAAGTTTCTTGAAGAAGTGTGAGGGTGGCAAACGACCATCAATGAGTCATTTGAAGGTGTTTGGCTCTATGTTTTACAAGCATGTTCTTGATGCAAGAAGAAGGAAGCTTGATGACAAGAGTGAACCTATGATTTTGGTAGAATATCACAAGGAAGGTGCATACATGTCATTCAATCCAATTAAAGAGAAGATTGTGTTGAGTAGAGATATTATAATTGTTGAAAATTCTGCATGGGATTAGAGTTCTAGTAATTTAATTAACAAGTCATTGATGAGCTCTGATTTTTACGAAGAAACTGATGAAGTTGAAGTCGAAAAGATTTCTGAGAATCCAGTCGATGTCAAAGTCGAAGAAGTTGCTGACATTCCCGAGACATTCGAAGTCGAAGAGGGTGTGGCTAGCACAAGCCAAAGACCTCAAAGAACTAGAGTTCGTCCAACTAGACTTCAAGACTATGAAGTAATTGGTGATGATGAAGTAACACCAAATCGAGAATTAGTTCATTTTGCTTTACTTGTAGGTGCTGAACCAAACAACTATAACAAGGCTTTAAAGATTCAACGGTGAAAGTTAGTTACACTCGAAGAGTTATAGGCAATCGAAAGAAACAAGACATGGGAGTTAGTCGAATTGCAAACACACACAAAATCTATCGAAGTAAAGTGGGTATTCGAGTTGAAACACAATACTGATGGGTCGAAAGCAAGACATAAAGCAAGAATAGTAGCTTGAGGGTTTCTTCCAAGAGAAGGACTCGACTACTCTGAAGTATTTGCTCTAGTAGCAAGACTGGAGACTGTTCGACTAGTGGTAGCATTGCCATGTAACCAAGGTTGGTCGACGTTTCACTTAGATGTGAAGTCAGCATTTCTAAATGCTCCTTTAAATGAAGAGGTCTATGTCACACAATCTCTTGGGTTTGTGATTCAAAAGGAAGCGAGTAAGGTTTATAAGTTGCACAAAATGCTTTATGGCCTCAAGCAGGCACCTAGGGCATGGAACAAGAAGATTGACTCATACTTAATCGAATTGGGATTTATCAAATGAAAATCAGAGTATGGTGTCTGTTGTACCCCCAAATTCCCCCCCCCCCCCCATTTTCTTCAAGACATTCCTCTAGGATTCTCAAGAATTGATCAGACAAACACACCTCCTAAGCAATGGGTCCACAACTAGGGTTTCATCCTTCACAAGGAAGAATGAGTTTCAAAGGTCTACAATGGTTTTCATGGTTCTTAATAGGTATTCAAAATTTCTCATGTCAAGTTTCAAGTCTTGCATCATAAGTTTTCTCAGTCAATGGCTCATATGATTGAAAGTCAACTATATTGAGTAAAAAGGAAATTATGGTTAATATACAGTCAAACTTCAATATTTTTGGTCAACATCAACATTTTCAAGAGATATTCATCATTTTATCAAATGTTGATCATGATTCCTCAAGGGAAGCCCTCAAATCATAAAAAGTCCAAAGTTGCCAAATTAGGGTTTCCTTAGGAGAAGTCAACTGAACTTTGACCAAGCATAACTTTCACATGCTTCATCAACTTTCCCCCAACCAAAACACATTTTGAAGGAAATTCAATTCTATACAACTTTGTATTTAGATGCTCAAGTCCAAAAATTCTCCATTTGAGAGATATGAACTCATACATTATAAGTCATTTCAAACGTCAACAAAAAGACATTTTTTGTCAAGGCAACTTACATCAAGATAAAGTCTCCAAATGCAAAAATGATAAAAATATAAATTGAAGAGGAAATCTTGAGATTTCCAAAAAGTCAAATATCATCTTTAAAAGATAAAAATTGAGAGATTTATGACCATTGCAAATTGTGAAATTTTGAGAAAATGCATGAAATGCAAAGTAAGCAAACTTGAAATTTTGAACTTATGGGCCTAACTTTTTAGGTTTCAAACATGTCCATGACCTTATGGAAGACTCCTAAGCTCATTCATACCCTGTCTTATGTTTTCTTATTATTTTATTTATATTTATTTT